CAGCTTCTCATACACTCAGGCTTCTAACCACCTTCTCATTACTGTTGGGCCAAGTTCATCTTCTCTGGGTATCGGACTTGCTATCTCAAAAACCACAGCACAGGTATTTGACCTCTGCTGGCTTGTAAAACTTTCTTCAAAACAGCACTTGTCTCTTTACAGCAAGGAGGCTTGGTATTGACTCTGAGCTTTAAGGATCCTCATGGGAGAAACTTCATCTGACTTAAAATACCCGAGGAAAGCGATCTGCCCCAGCGGGTCATGTGCAGCAGGCCGCATGTTGGGCGTCACTCGAATCGGAAAGGTCAGTTTTCCGGATTCTTCTGTCCATCCCATAACCACAACCCTGGGTCAGAGACCAAAGCCCTGACGAATTGTGCCTTTATTTGTAAACTGTGTTTTTAGCAAAGCTCCCATATGTCCATTAAGGCATTTCTTAGATGATTTGAGCCCACAGAATCTGCTCACCTACCTGCAGAGCCCACTGGCCTGGTGAGTTAAACAACTCAGCTAAAGCTACAACACTAACCAGGCCCCTCTTTTCCTGCCCAGTGCTTCCTCCTCACTACCCAAAACCAAACCGAACCAAACCCGTTGCCCTCAAGTTGGTTCTGACTCATGGTGACGCCATTGTTACAGAGTGGAACTGTTCCATAGGGTTTTCTTGGCTGTAATCTTTATGGATGCAGATTGCCAGGCCTTTCTTCTGTGGTACTGTTGGGTAGATTCGAATCGTTAACCTTTAGGTTAGTAAAAACCCATTGCCCTGAAGTCGATTCTGACTCATAGTAACTATCATGGATTGAATTACATCCCCCAAAAATATCTGTCAAGCTTGGCTAGATCATGAATCCCAGTATTGTATGACTGCCTATCATTTTGTCATCTGATGTGCTTTCCCTATGTGTTGTACATTCTATCACTATCATGTAATGAGATGGACTGGTTGCAGTTATAATGATGAGATCTACAAGATTAGATAGTGCCTTAAGCCAATCTCTTTTGAGATATAAAAAAAGCAAGCAGAGAGACCAGGGGACCTCATACCACCAAGAAAGCAGTGCGAGGAGCAGAGCACGTCCTTTGGACCTGAGGTTCCTGCACTGAGATGCATCTAGACCAAGGGAAGCCTGATGACAAGGACCTTCCTCCAGAACCAACGGAGACAGAAAGCCTTCCCCTGGAGCTGGCGCCCTGAATTCAGACTTCTAGCCCACTGGACTGTGAGACAATAAACTTCTCTTTGTTAAAACCATCCACTTGTGGTATTTCTGTTATAGCAGCACTAGATGACCAAGACAGCAACCCTATAGGACAGAGTAGAACTGTCCTGAAGGGTTTCCAAAGCTGTATCTTTCTCCTGCAGAGCAGCTGGTGGGCTTAAACCGCCAACCTTTTGGTTAACACTTAACCACTGCGCTGGACTACTAAATTAGTAGTTGAGTGCAAATCATTTGTGCCACGCAGAGACCTCCACTCTAGCCGCTGTTCTGTAAACTACATGGAATCAGCATGGCTTTGTGGCCTCACATTTGCCACTTATTCATAAAGTGCCTTTGCACCTATAGGATTCAGTAAGCAAGGAGCCTGTGACAGGGTAAAAGCTCAGGACCAAGCCCACAAAAGCTGTACACCAGCGCATAGTCACTGTATTTATCTAGCAAGTTCAAAGGTCAACAGGAGCAAGGCAAGGAACACACGAAGGATGGGGCAGCCATATATAGGATAAGGAGTGCTGAGGACTGGGGCTCCCCAAGAGCGCTCCACATTTAAGAACACAGAGCACCTCCACAGGGCACCTCAGCCCCACAGGGGTATGGTACCCCTGCTCCAAAGCTCTCTGTGCCAAACTTCTGGTGGCTTCTAACGCTGAATTCCTAAAAGTGAAACGGTCTACCCCTACCTCCTCTTTAACTTGGACGCAAAATCCAGAATGAGATGAAACAAATGGAACCAAAATGGACGATACATATCACACTGATTACAGTATCAGATCCTGATCGACAATTTCTATGAACAGATTAAGAAAACTACATCCTCTTAATGATTCAAATGATAGGGATTTGTAAAAATTTCAACCATATAGAGCAAAGGAGGAGGCAATGAATAGATCTAGCTACTGATGGTTATATACGCTGAATGTAAGGCTAGAATTTCCAGATGGAGAAATGGAAAAGAGCAACCAGAAAAGGCTTCTGTGTGAGTTATATCCAAATCACATTGCTGTTGAGTTGATATAAAGCTCAAAATAGGTGCAGCGCCTTAAGCTGGAGTGTGTGGGGCAAGTTTAGTAAAGGAACTGGGGTTGGAGTTAGCTCTTAAAGTATGGGTGGGTCCTCCAAACAGGAATCACACTACGATATGGATTCAGGAACTTTCAATCTAAGAACCACCCTGGGTCGGGGGAGGGTCTCTGGAGGGAAGTGGTAGCGGTAGTGGAAGCTGAAGCTGGAAACATGGTCCACAAATGCCAAAGGAAATACTCTGAACTGCTATCCTGGCCATGTGAGGCTTGGTGACTATAAAGACTTGACTGTGGTTTCAGAGAAATAAGAAACTTATGCAGTCCCTGGGTGGTGCCAATGGTTAACACGCTAGGCTGCTAACTGAAAGGCTGGAGGTTCGAGTCCACCCAGAGGTGCCTGGAAAGAAAAGCCTGGTGATCTACTTCCAAAAAATCAGCCATTGAAAACCTTATGGAGAACAATTCTACTCTAACATACATGGGGTTGCCAGGAATTGGATTCGACTCAATTGCTTATAAGATAGAAACTTGTAAAAAGTCTTGGAAAGAGTAAGCATAATCTCAATTAGAATATAAACTTCTGATTTAGTGAAACTAAATAAAACAAAACCATTAACTGGGTTATTTGCTTTACCTTACCCTTAATTTTACAGTAAAAGGCAAATTTTAAGAAAACAAATCCATGTGGACCTAGTTACACTGTAAACTTCCAGAGTCAGTATGAAGTACATAACTTCGGAGTCATCAAGACTGGGCTCGAGTTCTGGCTCTCACCAGCTTTGTACTCTGGGCACTGTACTTGACCCTGGCAAACCCTAATTGCCTCATCTGTAACACAGTTCCTTATGGGTTGTTGAGGATTGTAAGAAATGCACTTACCACCCATTGTGTCACGCAGAGGCAGGTAGTTCAGTGTTAATTCTTCTCACGCTAAAATGGAAGCTCCATGAGGGCAGCGACCCTGGAGTACAGAGCACGTCCAGCACAGGACACACACTCAAGGACCAGGTATTAGATGGATGGATGATCTCGTTCTGGGAACAAGCAACACTCTACCTAATTCTTAAGCCTTCTATGCAATAAGAGTCAAGTTCCAGAAAGATCACTGTGGGGCACTGGTCCCCACTTCAAGGAAAAAAAGCCTGCTTGGACTGCAGACTAAACCCAACCCTCTCCTGAGCGGAATCAGGTGGAGATACGCGATTAAGTCAGCAGTGCGTGGAACAGGAAGAGTCAGCCATTCAGACTGGGCCAGTGCCGGGAACATGTTCTATTCAACAGAGTAAGAATCCACGATTGATTTGGTGCTGGTGCAATTAGCAAGGTTCTCACTCTGGGAATCTCTATGGCTAAAGATGTGTGGCCCTACATAAGACTTAACGTTATAAATTAGTCATAAAAATCATAGCCATTTTTACCACTCTGAAACTAATCCCATCCTTAACTATACCAAATTTTTACACATCTTAGGGTAAGCAGCCTAGAAAGACAAGAAAGTTTCTGATAACTACCATAATTCACACAGTATGCTGGTGATGTACAGCGCAGTGCACAGAATCCTGGATTTGGGTGGGTGATCAGACACATTTGCTTGGAGTTCTCAGGCAAGTCACATGACCTCAGCACCTATTTCCTTGACAGGAGTCCCTGGATGGTGCTAAGAGTTAATACACTCAGCTGCTAACTGAAAAGTTGGAGGTTTGAGTCCACCCAGAAGTTCCTCGAAAGAAAAGGCCTGGTGATCTACTTCTGAAAACTCAGACATTGACAACTCTATGGAGCACAGTCCTACTATGACACACACTGGGTCACTATGAGTCGGGACTGTCTTCATGGAAACTGGTTTTGAAATGGAATATGCATATCATCCACCTAAGAGTGAGGCAATGAATGTGGAAACTATTATGTCGATGTTGAGTTCTTAAATGAATTAAAACATAACCATTCAACTGTTCCATTTTTTAAAGCCAACTGCACCTAATCAAGTTCTGAATGGCAGAAACTTCCTGAAATAGTTACATCACTTTTTGTTCAGTAAAAGGGCAAGTTAATGGTCCCTCCACATTTAGTACTAATAGTATAAAAGGACTATCTTCAACTACAGTCATAATCACTTAAAAGTATTTCTTGGAAACCGACACGCGCTCACTGTGCTAAGCGCCCGATTACCCAAGAAGTCAACTTAGATTCATCACATTTTAGGGCTGAACTCCGGAAGGCAAAATGACCTCTCCGAAGTTATGCAGCAAAGAGAAGGCCGAAGACATCAAGACTCCTAGCCGGTGGTGACCTTGAATTCTAGTCATCTTTGTGCATCTCACAGAACTTTCTAAGGCAGTATCTTACACATAGCGGATGTTCAATTAACTCTAGCCGGCACACCCAGTTCTCGAAGTACATTATATAGACGAAACCTCTAGGCTAAAATAATACCCTATAAAGCGCACGAAGCCTGACAGTCACCTTAAACGTAGACGAGCGTCGAGGATCTAGTAAGCCCTATATACGTGAGGACTGCAGGAAAAAAGAGCCTAGAGGAAGGTAGCGGTATGCTCTAATGAGGCAAGAACTGAGAAAGCGTGGGAAGAAAGGGGACTTAGTTTGGGAGGTTATAACTTCGGGCGAGGTGCGCCAGGCTTCAGGCAAGGGAAGGCGGAGTGTTTGCTGCTTGGGAGGCAGACGCAAAGGCCTGAACGCAACGCGGGGGCGGGGCCCGGCCGTCCCCGCTGCCTGGGGGTCGGGGGCGGCCCCTTACCCGGACGTGCGGCCCCTCCACCAGCTTCAGGGTTTGCGCCTGGAGCAGGTCGGCCCGCAGCTGCACCAGGAAGCGCACGCCGCCGTCCAACTTGCTGATGTGGTGGAAGAGGCCGCGATAACGCGGCATCAGAGCGTAGCGCAGCCGGTCCTCGGCCAGCAGCAGCACTGCCGCCTCCCGCTGCTGCTGGCGCAGCTGGAGCACGCCGGCGCTCTGCTCGGCCACCTGGCTGTGGTCCACGCCGAAGCCCTGCGCTAGGCGGCCCAGCAGCTCGGCCCGCTCGGCCACTTCAGTCAGGCCGCCGTAGAAGTTGACAAAGTCCGCGCACTGGCCCTCGGCCGGCGCCGGTGTCTTCTCGCGCAGCTCGTAGACCGGCCTGGCCGGCACGGCGCGGCGCAGTAGCTCATCCATGGCCTGCTCCAGGGCGCCGGCCGCCGCCCCCAGCCCGCTAGACAGCCGGGTCCCGGGCGGCCGCGGCGGCCGGGGAGGGAGCCGCAAGGTGAAGAAACGCCGCGCGGTCAGGCCTGGCCGGAAGCCTCGCATGGCGCCTGACAACAGCTAAGAGGGGGATCGCTGCCGTGCCGCCCCCGGCTTCCGTCTTTCGACTTCCGGCGCGCGCACGCCCGCCCCATTGGCCGAACTGGTGGCCAGGCGGTGCGGCGGCCAATCGGAGGCCGGAGCGACGCGGCGGGGCGCGGCCCCCCCGGGCGCGCGGCCCCAGGCCAAGTGAGGCAAAGGTGCTGGCGTGTGGCTCTTCGCTCGCTGCCCGACACTCTCGCTCCAGGGGTGCCATCACGTCGCTCAGCAGCTGCTTTGGACCCCTGCCCTGACACCTAGCCACCTAGTCACCGTCTCAGCCCCTCTCCCTGTAGCACTCTGTCGTTAGACCCGGTGCCCTCCAAGGTAGAGCTTCTCAGACTCCAAAGTGCGTCAGTCACCTGGGGAAAGTGTAGCATGCAGGTTCCTGGGTCCTGTATGTCTGGGGAGGAGCCCAGGAACATGTGTGCTTCAGAAGTGGTCGTGGTAAATCTCTGGCAAAGGAGTCTTGACTTTCGCCTAGGCACTCTCAAACCCTTGTGAGGGTCTCATTTATATACGCGACTCCCAGAGCTCCAGCCTTCTCTCCTGAGCTCCAGACCTCAGGTAGGTGCCTGCTGACTGCAGCCTCCAGCAGCCTGCACAGGAAAACTACTCATTGTCTTTGGTTGTTATGGAAATCAAAGCCACAATGATATACTGATTAACTCCTACTAGGATGGCTACAATTTAAAAAAGGGAAAAGAACAAGTGTTGGCAAGTATGTGGAGAAATTGGAACCCTCATGCATTGCTGGTGGGAATGTGAAATGATGCAGTTGCTGTGGAAAACGGCCTGGCAGTTCCTCAAAAAGTTAAATTAGGGTTACATAAAAACAAACAAACCCTTTGTCACTGAGTTGATTCCCCCTCATAGCCACTTTATAGTGGGCCTATAGGACAGAGTAGAACTGCCCCATAGGGTTTCCTTGGCTGTAATCCTTATGGAAGCAGATTGCCACATCTTTCTCCCATGGAGCAACTGGCAGGTTCAAACTGCTGACCTTTTGGTTGGCAGCCAAGTACTTAACCACTGCACACCAGGGCTCCTAGAGTTACCATAAACCAAACCCAAACCCATTGCCACCTAGTTGATTCCGACTCATAGTGACCCTACAGGACAGAGTAGAACTGCCCCATATGACCTAGCAATTTCACTACAAAGTATATACCCAAAAGAATTGAAAACATATGTCCACATAAAAACTTGTACATGAATGTGCCACTGACTGATGAATGGATAAACAAACTGTGGTATATCCATTCAATGGAATAGTATTCAGCCATAAAAAGGAATAAAATTCTGATACATGCTATAACATGGATGAACCTTGAAAAATTATGCTTAAGTGAAAGAAACCAGTTACCAAAGGCCATGTATTGTATGACTCCATGTATATGAAATACCCAGAATAGGTAAATCCATAGAGACAGAAAGCAGATTAATGGTTGCCAGGGGCTAGGAGGAGGGGGCATGGGGCATGTCTTAGTTACCTAGTGCTGCTGTAACAGAAATACTACAAGTGGGTGGCTTTAATGAACAGGAATTTATTTTCTCACAGTTTAGGAGGCTAGAAGTCTGAATTCAGGGCACAGGCTCTGGGGGAAGCCTTTCTCTCTCTCTTGGCTCTGGCGGAAGGTCCTTGTCTCTTTTTAGCTTCTTTTCCTTGGTTTCTTGGCCATCTCCATGTGGTGAAATCTTCTCCAGTTTGTTGTTGCTTGCTTCTGTGCCTAAACTGCTCTATTGTATCTCAAAATTGATTGGCTTAAGACACACCCTACACGGATATGGCCTCATTAACAAAGAAAACCCTATTCCCGGAGAGGATTATATCCCACGTATAGGGATTAGGGAAACCCTGGTGGCGTAATGGTTAAGAGCTACAGCTGCTAACGAAAAGGTGGCAGTTCAAATCTACCAGAAAGAACCGACTTGACGGCAGTGGGTTTGTTAGTTTGCTTTTTAATAGGGGTTAGGGTTTATACCACATTTTTGGCAGACACAGTTCAATCCATAACAGGGAATGACTGCTAGTGGATACAGAGTGTCTTTTTGGAGTGATGAGAATGTTCTGAAATTAGAACCATGACGATGGTTGGACAATACTGTGAAATGCTAAAAACCACTGAATTGTACACTTTGAAATGGTAAAATGGTGAATTTTATCTAAAAAAAAGAATTAGCATCTCTGTAGTCCTGATGGAAGCAGCAGTCAAGAAATCAAATGAAGTATTTCAATGGGCAAATCTGCTGCGAAAGACCTCTTTAAAGTGTTAAAAAGCAAACACGTCACTTTGATGACTAAGATGTGCCTGACCCAAGCCATGGTATTTTAAATCACCTCATATGCATGCGAAAGCTGGACAATGAATAAGGAAGACTGAAGAAGAATTGATGCCTTTGAATTATAGTGTTGGGGAAGAATATTGAATATACCATGGACTGCCAGAAGAATGAACAAATCTGTTTTGGAAGAAGTGCAGCCAGAATGGTCCTTAAAAGTGACGATGGGAAGATTTGGTTCGTCTCATGGACTTTGGACATGTTGTCAGGAGGGACCAGACCCTGGAAAAGGACATCATGCTTGGTAAAGTAGAGAGTCAGTGAAAAAGAGGAAGACTCATAACTAGGTAGATGGGCTTAAACATAGCAGCAATTGTGAAAATGGTGCAGGACGGAGCAACGTTTCGTTCTGTTGTACGTGGGGTCGCTATGAGTCGCAACTGACTTGATGTCGTCTAACAACAACAGTCCTGATTTCAAAGATCCAGTAGAGTCTCATTGGTCCATTGGATCAGGTGTCCAGGCTTGGATGCAGGGTCACACAGAGCAAGTGAGGTTTTCGAGGATCCACCCTTTTGGGTGGGGACATAGAGTTCACAAAAGAGAGGTGTGGGCTGGGCAATCATTCCAAAAGATCTCTACTTTAAGTATAAAAAGATAAAGAAAATTTTGGAAAAAAGAAAAATCACCCGTAATTGTAGCATGGAAAGAGCTTTGGTGGCACAGGGGTTAAGCTTTCCCCTGCTAAATCCTTCTGGTATTTGTCCACAGGCCAGCATGTTTTTCTGAGTTGTAATCACTGTGTTTGTGCTGTTTATTTCCTGTTCTTTTCACTTTCTATCATTTCACAAGCATTTCTCCATGTTTCTAAATCATCTTCATAATTATCCTTTTTAATGGCTGCATAACACTCAATTGAGTTGATGCATCACTATCTACTTAATCATTTTGCTTTTTCTGGATATTTACATGGTTTTTTTTTCTTATTTGCTATTATATATATATATGCATATACATACATATGTATATCTCATTCTGCAGGAAATACTTTCATGCATACTGATTTTTTTTTTTTTGAAACTTGAGTTGTCCAAATTACTTAAAAAGTTCAAATAGGATAAAATTTCCCATAAAACGTCAAACTAACCAAGCAGCCAAAAAAAGAAAAGAAGAGACACATAGACTCACTGGAGATAGTTGGGAAGGCAGCCACAGTTCCTAGAAATCTCTCCTCCCCTAGGGAATCCCCTGTTCACCCTTGACATGTTTCTGCCTCTCTCCCAACCAGTTGTTCCCTGAAGTTGTCTGTGGTATGAATATGCTGCTGTAGCATTTCTCTTCCTTTGGGTTGTTCCCAGGTTTGTTTGTTTTTGCTGTTACAATGCTGTGAACATTCCTGGTGGTGCAAACAGTTAATGCGCTCAGCTGCAAACCTAAAGGTTGGTAGTTGGAGTCCACCCACAGGCACCTTGGAAGAAAGGCCTAGTGATCTACTTACAAAAATCAGACACTGAAAACCCTATGGAGCACAGTTCTGCTCTGAAGCACATGGGGTAGCCATGAGTCAGAGTTGACCCAATGGTAACTGGTTTATGAACATCCTTAGTCATGGCTCCTGGTCCTGGCATATGCGTGCAAGGGTTTCTCTTGCTCAGTTTCCTAACCTTGACATGATTGACATTTAGGGCTGGATCCTTCTTTGTGATGGGGGCTGTCCTGTGCCTTGTAGGATGTTTTGGCACATCCCTGGCCTCTACCCACTGGATGCCAGTAGCATCCCCATTTGTGACAATCAAAAATGTCTTTGTGGTCTCTATTTGCCTAGAACAACAGAGGAAGAAGGAGAGTCAGGAATAGGGGGAGAAAATGGAATGTGTGGCTAATTGCCTCCATGAACAACTGCCTCTTTTGCCACGAGACCAGAAGAACTGGATGGTGCCTGACTATCCTTACTGACCATTTTGATCAAAGATTCCATAGAATAGTCCTGATCAAAAGAGGGAAAATATAAACAGAATTTTAAATTCTCATGGATTCCAGACTTCCTGGAGCTATGAAGGTTGGATGAATCCTGGAACCATTGTCCTGAGATAGTCTTTAAGCCCTAAACCAAAAAATATCCCCTGAAGGCTCCTTAAACCAAACAATTAGCTAACTAGTAAAAAGTGTCTGCCTTGAGCGTTATGCTCTTTTAAGAACTACCTATATGGGATCAAACTGATAACAGCAATTCGAAAGATTATATAGGAACTTTAGAGGGTAGTGAATTTATGTTAATGGGGAGGAACAATTCAGAATAGGAGGGTGAGAATGGTTGCACAACTCAAAGAGTGTAATCAATGTCACTAAATTGTACATGTGGAAACTGTTGAATTGGTGTATGTTTTGCTCTGTATATTCTCCACAACAACAAAATAAATAAAATTATGTATATAAAAATAGGAGTATGTAAAAGAGAAAAAGGAGAGTTTCACTTCTAATTGATGTAAATGACAAATCAACAGATAATGAGAATTCAAACTATAACATAAAATAAAAGGAAACTAGCTCATGAATGCAAATGTAGGCATTGATATACTGTTAAACACCACAACAAAATAAAAGTCTAAACTTTATTTTTAAGTAAAAAAAAAAAAAAAACCTTCAGATAGTGCCATATGTTCCCTGGGGGGCAGACTTGCCCC